AGTTATTAACAATTCAATCACCAACAACAAACAGCTTTCCATTTTTTTAAAAATTCTTTAATATTGCAACTTAATAAATTGAACGCCCTTTTTCAAAACCCTTCTATTGTAACCCAGAAATTTCCAGAACTCTATAGATGCTTAATCCGTGAGGTCAGTTTCAGCAGTTGTAGCAGTATGGCCTGAGGAAACGGAGGAGGGAGAATTGGATGCCAACGAGTGAAAAACTTCGGCAAGAGTTGACTGTGACAACGAAAAATCCTCCACAGAAAGTTGGTTTTTCAGCTGAAAATTGAAGCTTAACGTTAAAAAAACAATTTAAGTCAAATTTCATACCTCGTTAAGAACCTTGTAAATTCCAGAGATGGTAGAGATTTCCCTGTCAACGTGCAAAAACAACGTGGAACAATGTATAGACTCGATTTTTGCACCGTTTAGACGGGACAAAACAAACTCGCCCGCAAGTCGCGCGTCGCTTTGACTCTTCATCTTTACTGTTAGTGAGTGACCTTCGCCAAATCTGTAGAGGAGGAAATTTTAGATGTCGAACTTGATCTTTATCCCATTCCGTACTTGTTTTTTAAATGTTGTTTGCTGCCAATACAACGGATTTGTCCTTTGTCCATGATAGCAATTCTTGTGCACAATGCTTCACATTCTTCCATTGAGTGGGAAGTGATTACCTGAAAAGCCAATTTCATTTACTTTGGATGAAAAATCAAATGAACATCCATACACACAGATCTAGCTATCAACACTACATAACAAAAAGCTTGTAAATTAGTAATGTGATTGTAAAGCTAAAGGCTCGACTTTTCCACCGCTATTCAGTAGATATGTAAAGTAAGTCTCAAATCATTCAACAGCGAAATTTGGAGAGCGAAGACTCTAATATTGAAAATTTGCGTTGAGTTGCAATGATACGGCTATCAAAGGTGCGAAGGAATAATCTTCTTATCCATGAGCTATTTACGAAGAACCTTTTGCCGTCCCTTGGCTTATGATTGTTCCCTTCGATAGGTATCAGTTAAACCTCAGAAGTTCTAAACGTACATAGAAACTTAGGAAGAGAATAAGAATGTAGGCAATTAAGAAGATGACATAGTCGAAAACATCTGAATAGAAGGATATGCAATTAAGACGATCCATGGAAGGCGTAAGCACGGCAGCAAACCACGTTCTCACTTTTGAGGCTACTAATCGTAAATCTATTATCTTCTGGTACTTCATGATGACTTTTCTTTCG